ATCGATGGGATCGTAGGATAACCGTACCAATGTACTTTGCAATAGCCTGGAATAAAATGTTACTTCCTCTTATCTGGGAATCTTTTTGAAGGATTTATCCTGGGACAATCAACAAGGGTGATTGTCTGTATGACTGCACTTTGTCCCAGGTTAATATGCTTTGTCCCAGGATAAATGTGACATCTGTTAGCAGCACTGGAGCTTGGAGGGGAGTGTGTTGGGGGGAGATGCTTCATCTGCTCTAGGTCTCGCATGAAGTTTGGCACAGTTCTGCTCTGCCACCCACATATCCAGGCCACTAGAGCAGAGTGAGGTGATTTGGGTCGCTCTACCATCAGAATAGACACAAGTCACCTCCGTGTTACAACAGTGTTAGATCTTGACACACAATGTTGAGCTAAGGTTTCCAGCCAAGTCCTAGCTAAGGTCCATCCCCTCTGTACCTGGGTCTGGCTAAGATCTTGCTACCCCAACGCTGAACAGGAAATGGCAGAGATAAAAGTTCTTCAGTGGTGGCCTCTTTGTCTGCCTTTTGTTGTCGAAAATGTCAGGCCACAGATCTTATCTGATTCTAGACTGCTTCTGGATATGCAGATGGAGCCAACAGCGCTCCATTTCAGCTGTGCTTGGCTAAAAGATTGTGACCACTGCTTGCAAATGAAGACCTCATTGTGAGTAGCCACACCTTTGTCACCACCATACACCAGTACTCATTTCATAGTCTGTCCCTGAAGATCACTCAGAAATGTCCCGTAAGGCTGAATATACTGCAGACTTGCCAGCCCTCTCACCATGGAAATCACTGCCTCGCTCCATCTCTGGAGTGGCCCATTAGTAACACACTGGACATGGCAAACTTGTAAAAAACATTCACACCTCAGATGTGAAACTCCTTTCTCTATGGATACAGAAAGGGACTATGCCAGAACTGTCAGCGTGATGTTACAAGCGAGTCGCAAAAGGTCTATGCTGTTCCCAGTGCCTCAGGTGAATATTTCTTAAACCAATTCCGTAAGAGAAAATCCATTGTACTGGCTTCTACATCTAGATCTCGGTCAATTGGTACGTGTGGAAAATGCAGTTAGAGTGCCAATTCCAGTATTTATTCCTATGCTGCAAAACTCTTTAATTACTACATTTAAGACTACTGTTTTACTTGTTTGCCCAGATCTGGTTCAGAACAAAACTAGACAGTTGCATGCATCTTGAAAGGCAACTTCCCATTCCATTCAGAAGTTCAAAGGAAACCTGGGGAAATCCATCAAGTTACCACCCTTGCAAATCCCAGCATCAGGAAAACATGTTCACCCTGTTTGCCAGCACCAAACCACCTCATCCAGCTGTACCCACTACTACAATCCCTCTTCTTGATTTAAGGTGGTGAGTACCTTCAATTTTGCAAGTGGGTTCTAGCAAAGGACCTTCAGTAGAGACAATAAATGAGCCATGTACCTTGGGTTGTTATAGCCACAGAACTGTCACTGTCACCAGCTGATCTGCTGGAGGCCAGTGGCTCAGAGATAATGGGCTTCATCAGAGCGGGGCATTTAACCCTTTCTCCCAGGTTTGTTGCTGGTTATATGAACCCAGCAGCCAGTCAACCTTAAAAGGAAACAGGTCAGGGTTTATTAAGGCACTGATTTCAGCACCTGTCTGCAGGAGGCAGGGAAGCATTTTATTTTCAACTATTCTAGGGGTCTGGCCTGTGTTGCATCCACCATCACCCCCTTGTCCCCCTCCAAATCAGCTCATGCTGTTGCTGGATGCACCAGAGGATGGTCATTTCAGAGCCAGGGTATTGGAGGGAAATCAAAGGAGGGACAACATTACCGTCTACTGTAGCCACTACGGAGCCATTCACCGACCAAGGGTGCTCCCTTTGGGCAAGGAGAAGGAGAAGCTTCAGCTGAGACAGAGGCCCAGCTTTGAGAACAATGCCCCCGCTTCCCATGCTGAATGAGCCAGACAATTAGCATGATGCCACACGAGGCAATACTGGAAAATCCCCTGTTTGTATGCAGTCATATAGCAGTAGTCTGTGCTGCAGCCTGGGTTCAACCCCTTCCAGGACCCAAGCATCAGCAGCTGACAAGCATTTTGGACCAAGCTGTAACTAAAGATCGGGAGGGGACTAATTTAATAACATTTGATCATAGATGTGAAGCCTAATTAGGTAACTCTGTCAAGTTTAAACACAAGCTTAAGCAGGAAATCAGTGACAAGGGCCAGCAAGCACATCTAGCAGTCGCTGAAGGACGGATCAAGTGTCTCACATATGGTCAAGCTCCAATGAGTCTATGAAAAATGCTACTGCCCAGTCCCCCACCCCCTCCCATCCCAGGGTTTTCCCTGTTGGGAATTTTCTGCACTTTGTTTTAAATAATTAAAGCAACAGGATCACATAAAACTAATCGCTCCAAGCCTGTGACTCTCAACCAGGGTGTTGCAGCACCCCAGAGTGCCCCACAATCTTTTTTAAGGATGCAGGGTGCTGTGCAATATTAGCACTGTGTGGTGTACAAACATCAACACATGACTCACCAGAGAGAAACCTAGAGATTTCAAATAGGAACCCATAGTATCAAAAACATTTCTGACCTCTTCTGATCTTTCTGAGCTCTTTGTAATGGCAGGATTGCTCCATTATTTTTCCACATCCAAAAAAACAAGCTAAGAACTGGCATTTTCAGAGGGGTTCCTTGAGTCAGTGAGGGGTGAGAGTTGAGAGCTACTGGTCTAATCCCATTTAGCAGCTCTTCTCTGAAGTCCTCCCTCGTGCTGGGTCTGGGCTCAGGTGTTGTTCCTCACCTCCCGCTCCACATCTACTTTTAAATTGCATAGCTTTCTCTTCTGTCCCTTATAACATAGCCCACTGAGGCTGGGAGACTATCACCATCACAGCAAAAACATAAAAGCACTTACCAGCTAAAGGAGAGAAAAAGAAGGGCACAGCAAGTAACAGCCTCCAATTGCAAAATAGTCTCTTTAGGGCTACAAGTGCTTGGCTCAGCCCAATTTAAAGGGCTAGGCACAGAAAGGCATGCTGGGAAAAGGTTCCTATAGGCACAGGTGCAATTTACAGACTAGGATGAGTTGGGCTGCTAACTGCTGGAAGTTGTAGGGGGAGGTGACAGATCAGTATTGGTAAGTCTCGAAATACTCTTTTCATTATGAATTTGCTTTCTACCACTGAGAAAAGAGGATGTTGACTAGATGGACCTGTGGCCTGATCCAGTCTGGTGTCTCTCATGCTTTTATGGCAACCTCTCATGATAGACTGTTGGAAAGGAATGACCTCCTTGTGTTACATGCTGCTGCTGCCACCACCACCATGTTGTATATTATTAGCTGTAGCCTACCCGCTGTCCCACATCAAGTGCATTATCTATAGGAACTCGGATCCTAAATACTAGTAAGAGTCACAGGACTTTATCCTTTCTGGATCTCCAGAAGGTCCGTTCTGAGAGTTGGGTACATTGTTCTGCAGTTAAAGTGGCATCTTCTCCGAAGAACGCTAGGAGAGTCTCAGCGAGTTCCTTGAGTCCCTGAATCATTCCGGTCACCATCTGCTACCCCCTCGCTCCTCTCTCTGTATGTCCTTTTCCTTTCCCCAGAAGAAGATGAGACCAGACCACAAGATGCCAAATGTGACTTCAAACAGCACCTTATAAAATGCTGAAATGATTTCTACTGACTGGTATTCCATGCCTCTGATTACGCAGGCCAGAATGTAATTAGCTTGTTTGGACTGCTGCTAAACCACCTGCTACAGGTTTTAGAATTGCAGCTACTGGAGGCTGAGTCACTTTGTGCTTAATAGTGAATGACCTCCCAAGGTACATCTCTGCCTCAGGTTGTGGCTTTATCTAGTGCTCCATTCCTTTGCTACAGCATCTGCTAGCCAGAACCCTAGTATGTCAAACTATTGTTATTTGCAATTTTTATTACAGTAGCAGCTAATGGTCCCAGCTGGGATCAGGCCTCCCTTGTTTGGAGAAACACATACTGTACTAAACTTGAAATCCTGCTCCTGAAGAACTTCCCATCTAAACAGAAAACCTAAAAGGGACAACAGTAGTGCAAAAAGGTGGTGCAACTCGACTAAGGTTGCAGAGCAAGTGAGAAGCAGAGCAAGGGGAAGCCTTCAAATGGCCTGATTTATAACCTAGTGGGCTGTCCTTTAGGCTTTGCTGCATCTCAGAGCTAAGCAAGTTTGCCTGAATACTGATTTTGTTCCGATTCAGAGCCATTCCCATGCACTCCTTGTCCCACTTCATGACTCATGCTAGGGAAAGCTTATCTATGTGGCAGTCCTTGGGAAGTGTAGTCAACCTTAGCCAGAGCGCTGCAGCTGCTCCACAAGAACGCCCCATGTGGACGCCCTTATTCCCTACTGCGTGTGCACGGATTGACCAAAACTGCAAAAAGGTACTTTTGATGGGCTAAGTAAGAGCCTCTGTGTAAGAAGATTGTGTGCAACAGCTTTTCCTCTCTAGTTCTTCTGGGCTTTTCACCCCTCTAGACAAGCCTAGAGGCAGATCTCCCCTGAATTTGCAGAGTGGGGAGGCCTGGGATTTGAACTCCGCAGTATCCTGCAAAAATCAGTGGGTGAAAGGCAAGGAAGAACCCACACAGCATGGCCAAACCCAAAGGAGGGAAGCAGGCAGCACATACCATGCTGAGAATGTGATTGGAAAGAGTATCTATCTGTCATCCTCGCCTCTCTTATTAAAGCAAGTAACAGCTTTGCAGGATCCAGTCTCAATGGCTCCCAAATCAGCCTTCTGATGGGGCAGAGCTACCTATACAGAAAGCTTCAGGCAGTAGATACTGCATTCATTAAAAAAACACTGCCTCAGATGCTGACCACCCGAACAGCCCCTTAAAGCTTCCACTCTCTACTCACTTTCCTTACCCACCCCTTTTGCATCACTGTCAGCTGCTGAAAGGTTGGTGACTCAGCCTATACCTGCTTTTCCACTGCCTCTTCTCTTCCTTTAAAGGGGAGGTTTTGCCTGAGAAAAAGTAGCCCCTGAACAAGAAGGGGGGGAAGAAAAAAAAAAAAATCTTCAGCTAGCTGAGTCATGATTGCTTCTGCAAGGCCATTCAGCCTATGAAGTGAGCAAAATGGTAGGTGCAGCATGTGAGAAACAGGAGGGATTTGAATAGCTCTTCTGCCCTGGAGTTGGGAAGCAGTAAGTACTTGTTTGGTTTATATATAGATGTGCCTTACATAAGGCTCTGGCAGGGAACCACAGAGCTCTTTGTTTAAACAGGGGAGTCCTATCCCTTTCCTGCGAGCAGGCCTGTTAGCCTTGTGATGTCTGGTGCCCTGCTGTAGTGTATCCGGAGGGCTCGCCTGTCCTCTGAGCAGCAGCAGTGATGGGGATGAGAGGACCTTTCCCCCTCTGCCAGCTGCCAGAAGCGATACCTCCATGTCGGTGGTCTCAAAGCAAGCCGTGTCCCATGTAGCACAAAGCTCCTCTGAGTCCTGTTGCATGTTTCCTGTTATAATAAAGAAGAACTGGGAGGGGGGAAGGGACCCTTGCTCTCTCACTGTCCCCACATCTGCTCATGTTTGCCTAAACACTTCTGTCATCCTCTCTGTTGTGATAGTTGAGCACTGTCCAAGCACCAAGGGACTGTGCCAGACACCATCCCTTCGAGATAAGGGAAAGTTAGCCCAGTCTCAGGACTGGGGAAAGGGGCTCAGCAGTTCGTCCATGGTCACACTGGAAGATCTGTGGCACAGCTATTATTGCAAGGCAAGCCTCTCTGTTTTGGGATGAGTCCATGCTGCAATTGAAAGGGGTGACTAGCTCATGGAGACCTACCTGAGCTAGCCTGGGTAGTAGTAGCATAGTAGGCATGGGGCATGTGGTCTGCAAAACTTGACCAGGGCCCTGGGTAAATATTCAGCTCACCAGTGAGAGCTGGACTCGCTGTTGCTATTGTGTTGTTGGTACAGGAACTAGCTAGTTTAAAGGTAGCTTGAGTCTATCCGGGCTGCAGGCAGGCTGTTGGATCTTGGATGTTTGTGAGGACATGCTGTTGACCCTATGCTCTCACCTGAGAGCGCTGCTGCTCTTGCTGCATTGACTCCCTGCCTGATATTATCCCTGAAGCTCTCTTATTTTAAGCACAGTTAGAACAATTCCTTGGGCTCCCCTCTCTTTGGATTGAACTGCTGGTTTGACATTGCACCAGCACTGCTAGGTGGGAAATCCCTATTGCCTGTCTACTTGTTTCTGTGGATCTTTGTACTTCTTGGTTTTGGCCAGGAAGGGAGGCACTAAGATCTCTTGTTTTCTTCAGCCTTCCTCCTCCTTGGACCTTTTGCCCATGATACTTCTGTTGTGTCCTTTGCCATCTGTTCCAGGAGCCTGTTGAGACCTGGTGCCTCACCCTCATCCCTGCCTAGACTGGGATCATAAGCCTGCTCTGCTCTGTTTAACAAGTAATCATCTAGTGCAGACTCTCTGACCTGTGTAGACCAAGTATGAGCCTGTGCCCTATGAGCTGGGTAGCAGGATTTGCTAGTTGATCCAAACTGGAAGTAGTGAGTGTGAAGTGCACATGGACCTATTTAAGTTGCTGCAAACATGGCTCCCAGAACACTGCTGACGCAGGGATTCAGCAATGCGATTTGAGACTTGTTATCCAGCAAGCTTCTGGTACTGGCCTCTCCAGGTTAGATGTGGGGTGGCTAACCTGTGGCACAAGTAGCCCAGACAGCCTCTGTCTGTGGCATGCGGTAGATGGGGGCAGGGAGCCTAAAGGAGAGCAGCAGATTGGACAGAGGAAGGGAACTGAAATAGTGCTCCAGGGACGTTAACTTGTGGGATGCCTGCCAAAAAAGTTGGCTTCCTACTGTTCTAGACTTATATAGTATACAAGCTACCAGCTGACCCAGGACTATGGCCTTGACTTCTAGTGGACTCCAGGGAGGCAGGCAGGCAGGTCCAAATCTGCAATTGCTTTCAACCCCATATGGAAGACTGGAAGTTAAATTGGCTGCATAGGCTACAGTCTCTCAAAAACAAGTGAAATATTTCCTGAGACTAACCAGACCGATGCGAAGAAGGTGGCAAAGCTGTTGGTTTCCCAACTCTTAAGATTGATCTGTTGATATGGAAGGGAGTGGCTTCACGTGAGCCTCTTAAGGGATGTTGCCACAGGTAGGAACGTGGTGGGGTCTGGAAAGAGCTGCTTTCTTATCTAAAGAAAGGCTAATGCATATAGTTCCTGAGGTATTATAAGGACGGTGGAGGTAGTGTGTGACTGAGACCCTGGACCTGTCTACACTGGATACTGATACCATGTCCCACCCCTTTTCTGTGGGTCAAGTGCTGAGTGGTGCTGGACCTTCCTGGAGCTGCTATAATGCTCACACCTGAGGCTGCAAACCTGAGAGTGGGCTCACTTAGGGGGAAGGGGTGCCAACAAGTGGGTAGATCACACTCTTTTTCAGCACTTGGAAGGTGACAGGATCTACTTTCTCAGGGGTGCTCCTAGTAGGGCCTCATGCAGGGTAGTGCATGTTCTGCGGGGGTCCTGCTTGTCATCTCTTCGCTTCTTTTTTAACATATGATTATGGACTCTAAGCCATGTTATCAATTAGCTGGCAATCTCCCCTCTACCTCTCTCAGGGCAGTGTATTGGCACCCATTAGGTCTGGGCATTTCCCTGGTAAACTAGATTGATAAAAGCTTTAAAAAGGGGGTGGAAAAAACCTTGCTAGAACTCTAACAGCTGGAGTTAAAAACCTCCCTAGGTTCCTGTGTAGAGGGAGCCTGACTTTTAATCATATCCTAACTGTGATAAGGAAGTTCCTGTCTCTTCACACTTGCCTGCCTTTGTCTGGAAAATCACTTAATTTTTTTTTTCTGTAGTAGCTGTGCGTGTTGCTAAATTGTCCCAACTAGCCCTTAAATGATGCCCTCGGAACTGCCTCATTGATGTCTTATCCCTTCTTTAATGGGAAGATTTTATTTTTCCCCCTGTGTTTCTTTCTTCAGTTTTTTTGTTTCCTATCAGGTTTCTAAAGCTAGTCAGAAAACAACAAGACCTTTCTAACGTAGCTATTTTCCCTCCCACCCCCTTCTTTATTCCCCATCACTTCCTGAATCAGACCTAACAGGCTTTGACCATGGGTTCTCCTCATCCTGCCAAATACCTGGCTAAAAAATTGGTCTAATTTCTTCAGACCCCAAGCTCTTGCTGCTTTAAAGCGCTGTAGAAAGGTATACATGCATGCAAGATCTTGCTTCAGCCCAGCATATTTTACCAGAACATCACTTGGAAAGTTCCCTGCAGCCCAAGTGCATCACTGAATTCGGCAAATATTTCTCCTTCCTCTTTTTTGGTTCTAGATTTCACCTTCCCGTTCCGCTTTACTTGCATCTTTTTTTTTTTTTTTTTTTTTTGTCTGGCTTAAATCCTCTGTGCTAGTTTCTCCCAAGGTCAGAGGTGATAGGATGGATTCAGAGCTCTATAGCTTCTCCAGAAGGAAGAAGTCTAGTCTAAGCCACAAGTCCATTGGCAGGAATTTCACATTTAAATCCCTTGTGGTGGTAGACCCCTCTATTTGTTCCACCTCACCAACTGAAGGAGGGTACTGCTGCCTGGCAGCTGGCATGCGAGGATGTCCTTGCACTTTCAGAGGGCTGCCCCAGTCCATTCAGCAGCTGGTGCCCTCCAAGAATATGCTTCATACTCTGGCACAACAGCTGTAGTAGAGCCCATGCTGCAATCCCACCAGAACTACAGGGATTCAGTCACTCCTTGAAGGCTCTGTTCAAAGCTCCTGTGAAGCCCTGTATTTGGTAGGGCAGGAAGAGATGAACACAAACTTCTCACTAAATATCTGACGGTAAAACGGTTGATCTGAGATCTTGGTCAAATGCAGCCTCTTTGACTGCTGGGAGTCTCTAGCTAATTCATCAAAGCCCAGATTTTTTTTTTTTTTTAAGGAACGTTTTTTGTGTTCCAAGTCAAATCAGCCAAAATCCATTCCAATTCCGTGAGTCATTCAAGAACCAAATGTGGCCCTACTACCGGCAAACATCCTCCACCTCCAGCTGGTGCTTCAGATGCTTCCAAATCCTTTGGCGGGCATCCTACGTACAGGCCCAAGCCTGGAAGCTTGGGGTTTGGATGCCCCCAAGTTTGGCTTGCCCTCAATTGTATGGTTGCAGGAGCAAGCTAGGGAGGAGCCTCCCGTTTCCATAAAGTCGACGTGTAGCCGAGATCCTCCCACTGGAAGCTAGTTAGTGGGAAGCTAACTATGAGGCTTTCATAGGGAGTCCTGTCTGCAAGCAGACAAGGGTGCAACCCTCCATTACACAGTGCCATTTTAATTGCATTACCCCGGTCAGGGTATTTTCCCCGCCACCATCGTGGTCATGGTATTTCCCCTGCCACGTAAGCCCAGATTGTCCCCTGCATGTGAAGCATGTCCAAAGCCAGCAGTTGGCAACAAGGAATAACACACCAGCACAGAGCAATCCTAGGAAACTTAGGCCTGGACTGTGAGCCCCACCTGGCCTCGTGCTCCCTCGCCAGATCTCTGTGTGACTGATTGAATGGATGGTGCTGGGGGAAAGGGACCTAGAGAAGAGTTGATTTTCATCTCCTAACTCATCCTGTTTTAACTGTACCTGTGATTGGGATTGGTCTGATCTAGAGATTTTGGAAGCAATGGCGCTCTGCCCTGGTGGAGCAGCAACAGATGGGAGCAGTTTGCTGACCCATCAGCCTCACACTCACAGAAAAGGGGTGGACAGGCTTATTCTGGAGCTTCCTGACTGGGGCTGCTGGGAGAACACCGCACCCTTTTTGCAGCAGCTTTCAAGGCTTGGAAACATGGGCTTTTATTCTTAGTGAGATGGATGAAGACACAACCTTTTACATGGAGTTGTGCTGGAGCATCTCTCTCAAGTCTGAGCTTATTTTTATGTTTCTCAGTCTCCATCTCCAACATATGTTTTTATGTTATCAGTCTTCATCTCTGATCCAAAGTGACCAGGCAGCCCTGGGGGGGAAAAAACTTGCTTTTCTGACAGATCTGCCAAAACTCCTCTGTATCCATGTCTTGCCTTGGTTTGGATGTAACTTCTTGGGCTGCAATATTGGGACCAGTTCTTCCTCCAGCCTTTGGAGCAGGGCTGTGGCAACCAGTATCTTTCATGAAATG